CTCTCTCTCTCTCTCTCTCTCTCTCCCTCTCCCTCTCCCTCTCCCTCTCTCACTATGAGTTCGTTGGACGTTAAGGAAGAGCAGGAGAAGAAAGAGTCAGCGGAAAGGACATCATCTCTCTTTCAGGAATGCTTTTGGAAGTGAAGAAGACTTGCAGGTTTCGGAGTAAGAGCAGATGGAGGAGAGGAAGAGAGAGGGGGGGTACGGAGGAGCTTGTTTCTCCCTAGTCCTGGTCCCTTTGGTGGTCGGAAACTCATCTGCTACTGATGCAGTGATGCACACCTCTTCATAGCTGATGATGGGGGGTGGTGTGAGGTGTCCTTAGCTAGTGATGGAGAGGTAGAGGGTGGACGAATGGAGCAGAACCCATCCTTGTTGACAAGAGGACCTGACAGCAGATGTTTGCTGATGCTACTGAGGGGTGGCTTTTGGCTTGTCAACTAACAACCAAGTACCAGTCCTCCATGAACACCATCACCTCACCTTATACTCTCTGCCAATCTGCTCTTCCTCTCAACACATACGCCAATGGCCAATCTCTTCCCACTTTGCACCTCCCTCTACCTTGCATGTGTAAATCAACATGGAGGATAGGTTATGGTGACCAGCTCTAATGGTGGGTCTCTCTCTCTCTCTCTCTCTCTCTCTCTTTGTGCCTGAGTATGGCATACTCCACTGAGAGCTGGCAGCTGTGGAGGCTCTTCATAGCTGTTGCTCCTTTGTATCTTGCAGACTGGTGCTGCAGAGTTGAGAATGGAAGTGGTCCCGAAGGTGCACAGTATCTGGTCATTAACTCTGTGTTCATGGAATTCTCTTAAGCTTTTTAGCACCTTTTACTTGAGCTGCTTAAAAGGACATTTGCTCCCTGTTACATTATACTTCCCCTTCTGAAATGTGCCTTTCATGCTTGGTTATGTTTACTCAGCCTGCATTCTAACAAAGTAAACAGATTAAAATCCTTTGTCTGCTATGGGACCTCCTTGTCGTTTTCAAGCACAGGACCAGCGTTGGCCTTGTCCAGACTAGTCTCTGCTTGTAGATTACTCCAAGGATTCCTCACATCGCATGAGCCAGAAGAAGCCAAAATGCCATGGGGCAAGGTTGATGTGAGTTTTGTGTGCATGAGGAGGAGGATGCTTCCTTCCCCTTACAGATTGCATAGTAGTTTTAGACACACAGCTATTCAGATATGTAGGGTTTGGCAGAGGTGACCAGATGTAGGAATTCCTTGTGATGATCATGACATGGGACCTCTCTCATATAAATGGAACAAAACATTGGTAATTTCTCTTATCTCTCTAGTTTGGGAGCAGTGGAGGTTGCTTTATATATGCATGCCTGTCCCATAGTGTAATTATTCCTTCTCTTCTACTCTCATCCACCGCCATGGCCTTGTGAGATGGACGTGACCCTGAAACCCTCAGCTCCTTGCAATCCACACTTGCTCCTTTAGGGGACCTCTTGCAAAGAGAAAGTACTTCCATGTCTCTCAAAGACCACCACATGAGAATGACCCTATAACCCACATCCTAAGCGATGGCTTAATAGCGGAAAGCAGTAGCCGGTCTTGGTTCCTGCAAGCTGGTTCTCCCCTAATCCCACGCCATGTTTGGACCTGTTAAGGCGTGACTCTGGGATGGGTTGGGGGACCAGGCATCTCGGCGCAGCTTGTGCTGGCCATGGCCTCACTGCCATCGGTAAGCTTCTGTAGCTTTTAGCAGGGTTTCTGCCATGGTCGAGAGCCTTTGCCGGCTCCGCCATGGCTTGGGATGCGTATACGACGCGCACTTCGATCACCTCCTGCTCTTTGCCTCCTTTGACGGACAAGAGATGTACTTGCTTTGTTCCCCTCGCTATAATGGCAGACACAGCATGGCTTTCTTTTCCTTAAAGGATAGCAGTGCTTCGTAAGCCATGGCTAGCTCTCAGGTCATCCCCAATTACACACTTCTATCGTCTCTTCTTCTTAGCTTAGAACTAAGAGATCAACATGGAGCAGTTCGAGAACAATCCTTCTCCACTGCAGAAACTTGATCCATCCGAAGCCAATCACGACGTGCCAGATATGGTGGACACTGACATTCGGATCAATTATTGAACTCACACCTCGAAGGAGAAGGGGATATATGTCTTGTGCATGTCGATGCCGAGAGGAGGAGGAGGAGGAGGAGGAGGAGGAGGGGGGGATTGGGTCTGCTCTTGAAGACTTTTGGTGGTCTCCTCGAGGCATGAAGTGATGGTGCTGTCGGAGGAAGGATTAAATCTGAGGACCACCAGCAGGGAGGAGTGTTGTGGGGATCTGAAAGCTGAAGTCATCTTAAAAGGAGCTGCGATGTCTTCTTAGAGGAGCCAAGAAAGAAAAAGACGGGATGTGGGGGTGGGGGTGGGTGCCCCTTTTCACATGTGCCATGAATGCCCATGAGAGGTGGTGGGGACTTTGTCTCAGACCTTGAATCGATGCTGTGCTGTGTCCTCCTCTTTTCCATTGATTTTGGTGGATCGAACTGCCCCTCTCATGTGTGTTTATATGTCCTCGACCTTTCCAAGTTGGATGAGAAGAGGAATGCATGATCGACTTCCATCGAGCTTTCACGATCAGAAGCAAAGCGTCGGATGAGGCAGACACAAGCTGCGTGCCCTACAGAACTCGAATGAGAGCGTAAACCCTATGTTGCTTCGCTATCTCCTGCACACGCATGCGCTGTTCATAATTAATACGAAGATAAGCACATCGAATGCCTACTGCGGATTACAATTGCGTGGTTCTCCGTGAATCCGAAGCGGCTAGCAGATTCATGCATGCATGCATGCAGGCAGCTCCAACAGAGCAGCCTGTGACTCTCCCCCACACCGTGAGGAATGTAGTGACAAGTCCCCTCCTCTCGGTTGGCCATGTTCGCTCCCTTTCTTATCCCTCCATCGCCCACATTTCAACGTGGTCCTTCGCGCACATACACACATCTCTCTCTGTCTCTTCCTTGGACGGAGCTTTCGGTAGAGCCCACGGGAGAAGTAATGCGCGATGGCGAAGCAAGCAAACGACACGGAAGTGGAAGGCGAGGCAGTAAAAGCCACGTACCGAGATGAGGAAGTCTGAGGAAGAGTCGCTGTTGACACTAAAGTCTCCAGCGTCGGCAATCGGGTGAGGGGAGCTATCCGCAAGAGACGGAGCGGTGCTCGTCATGGGGACGGCCTCCGTTGCAGGTCGTCTTCTCGCGTTTGGGTGTTCGACCATGTGCGCGGTGCTTCAAAGGTGATCGTTTTCGTGGGCGACCGCTTGATGGACTAGTCGAACCGCATCATTCATGGCATCGACAGTGACCACAATGGTGCAGTGTTAGGATACAGGGCATGACACGATGATCATTCCACGACCATATATGTGGATGGATGCGTCTTTGACTTGTACGAGGTTGTGTTCGGCACATCTTTTGTTTCTTTGGATTTCTGTATGACGCAAACCGTGCAAAATTTATGTTGGCGAAAGATCCTTAGCAGATCTGTAGTTGTAGATGCAGAAAGTAAATGGTGGAGAGGTGGTGGGAAGTAATTACGGAGGGAGAAGGTCACATGATTGATCTGAAGTCCTTTTGGTCATTCATTTATGTTCGTTCATCTTTGGCAAGCTCTGTGAAGCCTCGATGAGCTTGAATGTGGTGGCAAGGTCCACCGAGGAGGACCACCAGCGTGCCTCCATGACAACTTCTTTCATCCCTGGCTTCATTAGTCGAAGGTAGAACGTATCCTTGGCAATCACTGGTGTGACATTGTCTCTCTCTCTCTCTCTCTCTCTCTCTCATCTTGCTCTATTCTATTAGTGGGAAAAGGTACAATATTAGTTCTTGTGATCAGTTGGAAGTCTTTTGGTCATGATCATGGACTCATACCGCATACTCTTTTGCCTCAATGGATCATCCAAACCTTCAGAAAGAGAAAGCAAAAGAAATATTGCAGTGTGGTCAGTCAGATCAACACTGTTGTCATACAAGTTTTAAGGAGAAGAGAATCCATGCATATTGCTTGAACATATATCCAAGAGTTTTAGCTGGAGGCAGTCTCAGCTTCTTCAACCATACAAATCCAGAACAAACTGATATGGTGGCTGATTATTCATCATCTTTCAGACATGGTTTCGGATCCGAACTTATGAAACAAGGCATTTTAGTAGAAACATAATAAGCCAAGGATGAATTGCCAGGGAAGCACTGAGACACTGGAAAGTGACATGCGCACTGCCTGTGCATCCTGTGCTTTTACCTCACGGCTGGTGTCCGTTGCTCGGAGCCGTTTCCCATTTTCCTGCCTCGGCCCTGACTAGTTGCTGCAGCACTGGAGCGGAAACCGGGCAGCGAATAACACGACTGATCCTGCTGCACTAACATTCTTCTGCTTGTCGAAAGAGACGTCATGTCGGAGCTGGTAGATGTGGCAGACGAACCAATTAGACCACTGCAGGAGCAGGGCTCAGAACATGAGACATTCCGGCACGCTTTGGAGGAGCAAGGCTGGGAATTCTGCTGCTGGAGCTGCTTTGTGTTAACAAAGCGGCCACCTGATCCCCTCACTCTCTTCATTGCATGAAGATGTCGAGACTCGTGAAGGTATGGCTAAAACGGAACAAATAAGATCAGTTACATGTACAGTTGATTCTGCAAAAGGTAAGTACCACAGGCAACAAACATCGATTATTTACCTAATTCAAAGAATTTCCAATCAACCAAAAACCATGAGAGGGATGCACAAAAAAAGAAAGGTTTCTTCATTTTCTTGACAAATCAATGCATCAAATGGGCGAAGCAAGTTCACAAGTAAAAAAATGCAAGAGAAAACATTGACAGAAGAACCCAATCGATGCAATGAATACAAGCAAACAAGAAAGAACTGCTAAAGAAGTTTGGATAGCTTGATCTTCAAAGAACAGCCGTGAACGAAGGATCACAAAAGCAGTGAATTCGGCATGAAAGATCTAGCTGCTCTTAACCGGGAAATTTGTTATACCAATTGAGAAGAAAATGGTACAATGGAAATCAGAGTCTTGTATGACTCGAGACATTGGCGCCTATTCCGTGAACTAGTAGAAACCGTTTGAATGAGGACCACAGGAGGACATTGCACAGGTCTTTACAGGATAAGAAGCAAGAATAAAAGGTATTATAGAACTGTACCTTTCGAGTTTTGATAACTTTGTTTTGAGCCTCCAACCGTGCACGAAGCTGTCTCCTTCTGAGGATTGCATTGTATTGTTTTGGATTCACATAAACGGGTTCTTCAGCAGCAGGTTCAGTAGGCAGCAGAACTCGAGCAGAGGATGCCATTCCGGCCATTTGGGGTTGGATCTGGATATAATAGCACAATACAATATCACAAGTACAGATGGCAGATCACAGAAAGCTAATCTCCTTCAGGTATGGGTTTGTTTACTTAAGCATAAAAATAGAAACTCCTCATGTTTCTAGCCAACAAACTCCATAATTCAAGAATAAACAAACAAGAAAGAGAAAAGTTGATGTGCAAAAATGTTCTCATAACATGAGAAAATTTCAAGTCGACAAGATAGCGCAGGATGAATTGAAAACATAACCTGGAAAATCGTTTTGCTTACAAAACCTCAGCAGGGAACTCCAGCTGCTTTGGGTTTATAACAAAGACGAAACCAAAATTATTGCATTGGGAGATCAGAACAACACAGAAAAATTGAAGACATGGAATCATCGAGCAGACAGTTGAAGGCTACAATTGCAGAATTTTCAGACGCCCAACCATTATTAATTCCAAATAGCCAGGAGTCAAGACTGTGATTATGCTGCTGCCCCATGTTAGCTAATATCTAATGTTGAAACATGGATGTAAGTTTATTCATCAGCACATAGCTGTAGATTAAAAGCCAAAACACCAAAGGACATCATACATGGCATATGAACAGATACCAAAAGATACTGATCTACACAAAAGGAGCTTTTCATTGAGCATTAAATATGAACTAACAACTAACTAGTTTAGCCGGACAAGAATTTTCTTTAACAGCTATTCATGACATACATTCAAATTAACATTACAGAAGCTAGCATATTTCTTCATGACAAACACAAGGTCACACATAATGAGTAGCAAAAAGAAAAAAGAGGCACATAAAGATCCACCTTTTTCAAGTTTTTTCTCGTCATAACATTGACAGAACAAGTACACAACTGTATCTGAAGATGATTTCTACAGTTCCAGACTAGATTATCGAGTTCCTCAGTTTCAGTCAAAATCAGTTTTGAAACTATAAATAAATATTCAAGTATTCTAAACTTAACTAGACATATGACTTTTTATATATCTCAATGACGTCAAAAGATCTATGTAGCCGATCCCAAATAGTTGGAACTTACAGTCTTATTGTTGTTGTAGACTATAACAATTTTAATATGTTTTAGTTTCTTAGATTCTAATGCATTTCTCCTCAAACATAAAATTCAAATGGCTTACCTAAATTTTTATAGTTCGATGAGTTAGAGAATCATTATAAGCAAGTTTCGTGTTTAGATTATTGTGAACAGAAAAGTTTCCACTTCACTTCCCAAATTCACATTAGAATTTGGAAAACTAGTCCATCTTGCCAGACGGGCAAGCAATTTAGCAGATTCAGGCAAAGTTTGAGCTACCACTCATGACAACGGGTCTAACACATACCTTGTAGTTTACCTACATGGATTGACATGGATTGTCCAGAAGATGGATGTTTGAATCTAATTTACCAGCAGATTTAAATCAGTATCAGAATCTAGTATACAACTGAAAACAACAATCAGTTATTCTTGGTGATAAACATGCAACGTTACATGATTTGTAAATAACTATCTTGCATGTACAAAGGATTTTTTTTTTTCTTCTTGGCTACATGCCACAAACTAAACCAACATAGAGTAGGTTTCATCTCAGATTAACGTGTAAGGTTTTCTTTTTTCTTTGTTTGTTTTGTCTCATTTTTCTAATTTTCATCACTCGAAACAGGACCTTGGTAGAAGCTGCCTAAGCATTTTGAACTGCAAAAATGAATGCTGCAAACAAGTTAAAGACACAAGTGAAACCAAGTCTTTAAACATAGGCTTGTACAACACAGTTTGACCTAGTCCATAAAGCAACCAATGTCAAACACTAAGTGTTCAAACTTGTTATAAAAAAGGCCGAGCAAACAAATTTTTGTTAATTAAATAGCGGAAGTCGAGTGGTAACATTTTGTGTCCTTCAATTTGGAAATTAAAAAGAAAAATCCCAATAACACCTACTATAGCATGTGGGCCATATGTAGCGAGCACTCCTCCGTAGTATGCATCAGCATAGGGGTACGATATACAAGCCTGCCACAGATGCCAGAAGTCCAATTTTACACAAGGAGAAATATAGAATAAATGAACATGCTAATAATGTACAGTGTTTCAGGTAATCAACACTACCTAAGAGCTTAAAATTGCAAAGGAAACTTACAAAAGGCTGGTTATAATCAAATCTTGGAGGTGCACTTGACGCTTCTGGAGTCCCTAGAGTTAGAACTGCCTTCATATGACCCTCAACTTGCTTTTCGTGTGTATTATCAGTGGCTATGGGAAAGAAAAAATGCATCAAACCATCAAAAACTAGAAGTTAGGAAAGTGACTTTAAACCATGAAGAGCAAATTAACTGCAAGCTAGGTAACATTAATACCGAAAATTAATAGCCAACTGAATAAACAATGATAATAGCCATCTTAGTGTAATAAATTATAACAACCCATTATCATATGTTGAGAACCCCAGTGCAAAGTGGGTTATGCAAAAGAAACTGAACGAGACACTTCAGTCTTCATGAATGCTCCCAATCTTTTAGGGTGAATTGAAAAAGCAGAAAATACATGATATTCCCATTAAGTTTGTTTTAAAACGAAAATGAAAAGGTGAGATGGTCCAAGAAAACAAAATAATCATGGCAAAATAGTCTTCACTTCCCTCAAATTCAATATTCAAGATCTTCTTCAGTTAGTTCCCACTTGAAATTATATCTAGCACAATAAGCACGTAGAACCTTTACTGTTAGACCTCCAAAATTAATTTACAGGAAGAGCCAGTAGAAGTTCAAAATTTTTTTAGATTAATTATAATACAAGATAGCGGAACAGTGAAGTTGAGAGCAATGTTCATAGCTCATGCTTCGAATAAGCTATACCAGAATGGAAAAAAACAAACTGAAAATGCTGACTCCGAGCAGTCAGACATGCTAAAAAAATGATATGTTGGAGGAGAAAAATAGTGAAAGAGAATTTTTTTGCCACCAATATGAGCTATACCAGAATGTGCTGAAATATACTGCTCATGGTTGTTGCATTCACTTGTTCCTGATACTTCTTGATGGGCTTGACCACTTGACTGAGTTGACGAAGAGTTTTGGTCAGGCATTTGATCGCCTAGATGCTTCATCTGATTACCATGTTGAGCCAAGAAGTCCATGTGCATACTCAAGTTATCAGAGTTTAAGGAATTTGGAATGGTCGAGCTACTTGATTTCCACCAAAAAGGATGATTCATTTACACAATTGGATGTCGAATGAATCAAAGTATATCCTGAACCTTTGTTCCCAATGTGTTTCTAGAAGTCTTTTCATCAGAGACATGTTTCAGTTGCAAAGATGCTTCAAGTCCACATCAGTATCAGTTCTGGAGTTGTAGAACTGACTGTACATGAGGAAACAACTTATTGTGACCAATGCATTAAAAGGTAAGATAGAACAACAAATGAGATTATCAATGACACACAGAACAAAATAAGAACTACTCGTTACCAATGAGGTGTTAAATGACTTTTATTAAGAATGATATAGTAACCCATGGAACATTGAGGTTTACATATCTACATCAGCTGATACTTCTGTTGGTCATATATATGAGTTCAAATTGAATAAACATTACAAAAGAATGCAAAAATTATCAAATAAAAAAAACACAAAAAAACAAATCGTTCATTATCCAGCTTTAAATGACTAATGCCAAATTGCCAACCGAATATTTCATGCATCTGACCAGATCAAAATGGAGAAGTCATGGATGATACAACAATGTATCCGGTCTTGGCTTAAATGGCAGATATATGTGTTGAAGAAGTATTAACATTTGACTTCTATTAACTGAGATCGGTCCATCTTAACCAGCAATAATTGTACCGCAACAACAAACTGTCCTTGGCATAATGGATCATTGCATATCATTTTGTCACGTTGAGGTGATATCGCTAGGTAACTGAAGGGCCATTATCTACATCTTGATTTGACCAATGTAAAAGGCTTCGATCTTGTTTTTAGAACTGTGCCTCCAGAGCTTTTCTTTTGGCATAATAGTTATGGAGAGTTCGACAACAGTTCTTAAAATAAATAATATAACAAAAATATAAAAATCAAGAAAAAGACAATCACCATTTGTTGGTACTTTCGCTACACATCAGTGCTCTTGCTGGTTTAGAACTGAAATTTTGGTAGATATATAGAGTAAAATGAAAAAGAATTAAACTCCTATAACTAGAAGGCATTATATATCATAAACCATCACATGAATCTTGGCCAAAATTGACCAAACTCTAGAGCCACAAAATTTTTGGGTTGGTCGTGGGATTTAAAATAAGTTAATCAGGACTTTGTTTTCTATGAGTTTCCTCTTGCTATTCGTGGCTCTAATCTAAATAAAAGTATCTAATCTCATCAGGCCCTTAGGGTTTCTTCCTAAGAAAATGTCTGGACTATCTTAGAATATTTTCTCACTTGTTATCCTTGAATAGTACCTCCCTTTATATACTTGCCAATCCAAATAATTTCTTTTTTTCTCTCTCTCTCTAACACTAACTTTTAATCTAAACATGTTAATCTCTTCTATACGAAATTTTTTAGTATGTCATTTCACAACTACTTAGTATTATGAATGAAAGGAAGATCTAACCTTACATGTATCCTACTACCTTTTTTTTTTTTTTTTTTTTTTCTGTTTTTGAAGAACCTAAAGGTACTTTGCGGACAAAATCATTGAAAAAAACCCATATAAATTTATGAACGATTGACTCTGCAATTTCCCTTTGTTGCTGATGGATGTCAAAATAATCTAAAATTTTTGGCCATCTAATTTGAATTTTATATTATATAGCTTTCATTTTGTCGCTTTGCTAAAGTCACAATTCATTTCCAAGCAAATCAATCAGGAACCCAGGACAAACAAAAGCTCCGAAAATTTTGTCTGTAATAGATCGAAAAGACAACAAGAATCATCTCGAGCGATCACCTCACCAAAGTAATCGAGACGAGGTTTTTCCGGAAAGAATCAGTCTTGTGGAGCCAAACAATGCCCAGTAAAATCACCTATGACCCTGAAATCCACCTCCCAAACCCCAAAACCATGCAGATTCAAGACGCCAGAAACCCAAGAACCAGCACCTTCCGAAAGCCAACACATGCAACACCCGAATCCTTCTCTCACAACACCCCCTGGGTACCCAAATCAAGGAAGCCAAACCAAAGGGGGGATGGTGGAAGAAGAAAAGACCTCAAGGAATGACAAATCAGGAAATGGTTACCTGGACGAACAAAGGGAAGAAGAACCTCTCAGCAGGGGCAAGGGAGGGTAATGTCTCCTTTTCTTCTTCTTCTTCTCTTTCTTCACGCTACACACCAAGGAAACATAAATGGAGTTCTTCTTCTGTTGCCAAACGTGCTACTCCGTCTCCATCATCGGTAGTCCTTTTCGACCATTTCCCTCAGCAGGAAACAGGAAAAAGTCTCTCCGCCTCCCATCACCTGCACGCTACCCTTCGTCCCTCACTCTTCGCCTCGGTGGGCGATAGCCAAATTACCGTGAGTAAACGCCGTATCTGCTGCAACATCATAGGGTGCCACGCGTCTACTGCCATCAACCGCCACACGTCGACAGAATCTAATGACTCGATCCGGCAGCCACTTTATTGCTGCGATAATTAGATGGACCCGAACGCGATCCGACCCACCAACGGACCAAAACGTGGCAGTGACAGCCACGCGATGCGCTGGGTTCCTGTGATCGAACGAATGGGTCCCTCCACCGGGTCCCACGTGGTTCTTGTCAAGCCACCGCAGATGGGTAGCCGACAGGGGTACGACGATTTGATTTTTATATTTCTTCTAAATTTAAGCAAAATCATTTTTTGATAATCATATATATATATATATATGAATAAATAAAAAAATAAAATGAAATAATAAGATATTAGAACAAGACATGGGAAAGCTTGGTCTACTTTTGTTTTGCTCCTGTTCGAGATCCCTCCTCCCCTGTCTTCTAGCAGAGATGGGTAGGTAGCAGAGAGAGCACACAGAGGAACTTGTGTAGGATGAAGTTGCACGGCCTTTGCTTGTTATATTCAACCTTTGATGAGATACAAAAGTTCTATTTTGTTTCTAATTACTTGATAATTAAAGAAAATCTTATGATGATAATATTCTATGTCAGAGTCACAAATGTAATGAAAACATTTCTGAAGTCAAGTAGGACAGAGTTGCTGAACATTGTTTGTATCTTGTTGATCTCAATTTTGGTTCATGAACAAACTTAAAACTAAAGCCATATAGCCTTTTGGAAGAGGCGAAGTCTGTGGTGAACAAGAGACACGAGACACGGCATCACTCCAAGCGTAGAAGCCAAAATGGAGTGAAGGAGCAATCATTGCCATGGTGGAGTTGTGACCGTAAGGAACGTTTGATTCGAACTGGTGGGGGTGTAGAAATTGGATGGGTTCTCAATCGTAAGACAAGAAAGCATCGATTGATTGATTGATTGATATCGAGGGCGTTCATGTCAACATGGTGGAGAAGTAGTAACTCATCAGCTTGAGGGAAGCCGGTATCCACCAGTAGAAAGAAACGCATGCACATTACTGATCTCATTTACACTGTGAAAGCCTAATGGCAGGCAGGCAGGAAAAGAACCTTCTTTTTTCTGCTACATCTTAATGGAAAGCTTTGCCCAGATCATTGAAAGCTAATGATGTTGATGATGATGATGATAAGAACAACAACAACAACAACGGTAATTGTTCTGAAAAAGAAAACCATGTTTTTTTTCTAGGAAAAAGATTAACAAGATAGGTAGGAATTGATTGCCCTTTGGTTTACTTGTTCCATTTTGATAAACACAGTCCCATCTCATTAATACTAGGAATCTAAGTTAAATGGAGAATTTGGATCTCCACCTGTGAGTAGATTCTCCAATTTGTCTGCTTAGTTGACCTCCTGAAACAATAGAAAGTATGCTCCTTGATGTTCTAATATTCTCATTAACTGGAGCATACTTTAGATGGGTGGGAATTTGTGGAGCTCGATCCTTCCCCTAAAACTTCCATACTCTCTCACTTTGTCTCAAACTTCAGTAGTCTCAGTATGGTCTAAAGAACACAAGAACTGTGTGGAAACACACAGTGCCAACAGTCGATGGTCTCAGAAATCTTTCATTGCAGATCAATGATTGGTCACACAGTGTTGGTGCTTGTTTCTTGTACAGCTGTATGCTCTACTATAGCTCCACATGGTGAATGAGCAAGGAAGCTCTTAGGTAAAGGGCCAACATCATCTGTTTGATCTTTACCCAAGAATAGTATCTTATTATCCTCACCTGTCCCCAGCAACACCATCTTCTAGAGAGAGGTAGGTGCAAGCTTTGCCTTGCGACTTGGTCTTGAAGATTCAAGAAGATTGGTCAGGTCATTTCTTTCTATGATCTATTTGAACATATGAAATGACTCCCTGTTATGATAGGTCAATGTCTAATCTTTTTGTGCTCATACCAAGTCCTCATGCTTGCATGATTCAACAATCTTCTCCTGCTTTTGTTTGAGAAGAAGAGTGGCATCAATGATGGACATTGCCAGGACTTTTGGAGGTCTTCTTCCATGGATAAAAAAGCACCAAACATGGCGGTGAATCATGTAGTTGTGATGGGTTTTCTCTGGTACACAACAAGCCAGTCCTCTACAATAAATAAAAAGCATGTGGTCCATTCTAAACCTGTCAATTAGCTTTAATTAGGACCCAACATGATTAGGTCCCTCCCTTTTGAGCAATAATTAGGTCAAAGTGAAATACCATAACTAAACCTAATCCCATGAATCTTTTATTTAGGTTTGCACATATGCAATATTGATGATATAAGCATATTTGTTATTTCTCAAAATCCATCCATTAATTTGAATTAGAATTTTCATCATTACCATACCACCATTCCTATCTTGTATTTCATCATTCTTGTTCTACCATTATTATTACCCTATAATAATGGTGAAAATTATAATTAGCCTATAAAAGAATCTATCATTTGGTAGTCCATTGCTTGTGCCCTTTGAGGAAAAAGAATTAAAAAAAAAAGAATTCCTGAATCATTGATTTATGTGCAAGAAAGATAACATGAATCATTATCTTAGTCTCACATATCATCCTAACATTTATATTTCAGAACAACATCAAGAAGGGAAAAAAATTGCTTCATACACAATCGATTTGAGAAAAAGGAAAAGGTCTATTTATTTTCTTTAATGAAATGCTCATAGTAAAAGAAAAGAAAAAGGAAATTAAAGTTGCTTCAAGGTGTCTATTGTTGTGATGATGGTGCTTAGACCACAGAAATTTCCTCTGCATCGTATAAGCTGACCAATTAATAATAGTCTAGTCTTGTCTGCCTTTGATTAGAATATTTATTCCAGTCATTGCATGAAGGACCAAAAGAAGAACATATTCTCTCTCTTTTCAAAAGGAAGAAGGAACATATTCTCTTAGGGTATTAGTATCGAGATTAGCCAGCCATACAACCCAAATGTTTCATATGATTAGCCATTCTATTTGTGCTTAGACTATCTTGAATAATCCTCCTTTAAGACGAGTGCCATTCTTCTCTTTGCTTATTCCTTTGATGTAGTAATAGTTTTGGGAACAATATGGAATATACTGACTTGACTGGAAGAGATCAATGGACTACTGAATGATGAACCAATGATTTATGGACTTAGTATCTACTAAATTGCTTTGTTTGATTGCCCACATGACCACATGAACATGAAGGCACAAAAGCAAGGTAGACTGTCCAACCATTTCTCTCTCCTCTTTGGGCAAAAGGTGACGAGCCCATGAAGAAGGAACAGACAGACACTGATCAGATGAGCACAAAACAATTCAAACAGGTGTATGTACACCATAGCTTTGTTTACTTCAATGATATGAATCTTTTACGTGAACACCACCCTGCCAACCATGCATGCATGTACAAGGAAACAATAGCAATTTGGATCATATACATATGGCACCAACACGTTCTCCTCTGTCCATCATCAGCACCTAGTGGATTCCCCATTGATGTAGTCCAGAATGGCAATCACTGCAACGACGAAGGCCTGGTCGTAGCTTGGTTGCACCACCACAAAGTAGAACTCCTTGCTTGCCATCATCTCCTTCTTCCCTACCTGTGACCATCACAAGGGACAAGTGATTAACATGGGTATGTATGCATTTGACCAAATTATGACTTCTCTTCGTAATCTTACCTCAGCCACAACATTTCCTCGTCGATCTCTGATGATACAAGCTCGTTCGAGGAAAGATCCTCGTACCTCAAAATCCCAACTCCTGTTCTTCTTCGGTTCGATGTAGATTCGTGTGGTAGAATTCATCATGATCCTTGATTTTTGTTCTTGGAGGCTGAAAACCAGCTTGCTCGGCAGTTCATAGTCCATCAGGTAGCCTCTCCACTGATCGTTGAAGCTAAGCGCTTGCAGAACACCTCCCTAGGAGGGTAAAAAGAGCTGAGATAACACATTCGGAATCATAGCACGAGGATGAAGAGGAAAAGAGATTACCTTCCTACGAATGACAAGCAATGAGTTGCCATCGCCATCCCTGATCACGCACTCACCGCTGACGCCAAGAACACCGCAACCGTCCACCGCGAAAACGATGTGCTGGTTAGTGTTCATCACCACAAAGCCTCCTCCATTGATGTTGCGAGGCCTCTTCCTTATCATTAGCACCGTCTGTGAATTGGAGCAAAATGTCTTGCTAACGATCGGGAGTAAAGTCGTCGCTCCACCCATGACTTGTTTCTTGAGCACATCTCCGAAGCCAAAACCTGTATTAATAGAGGTTGGAGGAGCCACTGCCAGGTTGAACCTTGTTCAAGCTGTAAACCAAAACCAAGAATCCTGACCAAACTAAAGACTAGACAAGATGATATGATGGCCTACTTAGCTTGTGGAAGTCTAAAGGTGGTGGTTGTTTTCTTCACTCAACTTGGACAAAGTAAGAATCCTAAACTTGTGGTTCATCAAAGAAACATGTTGCTGCAGCTAAGAAAGCATCTTGGAATATGTTGCTTTCAAATGGATGAACTCGATTCGTTTAGCTTCTTAGCTAAGGCTCACCGGCACTGTCTGTCTTCCCCCTTCAGATCCAATCGACACATGTCTTTCGTTTACCGGATGGTGTCTTTTCGGTTGTGTTCAGAAACACAATGATGATTGCAGTCATACATCAGCAGTATGATTCTGAGATTCCAAAACACTATCCAGTTGCCATCTGAAAAGTTCATGCGGAGCTGGGAGAGCTCTTTGCCACTGGGCATGAATGCTTCATGCTTCGTAAGCAGCTTCTGGCAAAACGAGAGACGGGCAAGACAGAGAGAAAGATGAATGAGTATGTATGGAATATTGATTTGTGTGGGAAGCGAGATGGAGGTTTCTATCCTTCATTCTGATCTCTTGTTTTGAAGCACGTCGAGTTCCATTCCCCTGTAATCAATCCATTCTCTGTGAGGGAAATCAGTTTATCTTCCTGTACTCCTCAGCAATTGGCTCGAGCTCTTAAACTTAAATCCAAAAAACAGCTCAATTATTCCCTTGTGATGGTTGGTGGTTTCTTTAGCACCATTAAATCACAAGAAAGATAACTTGCAAGTTCTTCCATGTAAGAGGCAGTTGTCCCAAGTAAAACAAGAGTTTATTTAGACCATACAATTGCATGGAAAAGGCATATTGTATTGTGTTGAATCTGAGGTTGATAAAGCAGTTGAAAGACCATAGCAGCCAAGGTAACTTAATTCTCAGATCCTTGGAGTGCATTCAAATGTTTCAGATGAAAACTGATAGACAGTGAGATGAGATTTCAGAACAAGTAGGCTTCCTACCTTATAAAAATTTGATAGATAGATAGATAGATAGATATATTATTAGATAAATAGACCATTTTATGGATGGATAAACAGAACAGATAGATAGAGATAGAGAAAAAGGAAAGGAGATAGAGGAGGAGGTGGTGGATAAGTATAAATCTTACCTGCTAAATTTTCATCCCCAAAAAAGAGAGAAAAAAAAAAACAAAGAAGAGATTTCATAGCAAGTAGACTTCTCTCACCATATAAATTTGAGAATAAGTAGATTTCTAGAATTATGACAAAAAATTGAAAGGCTATATTCACTTTGGATTCTGCTAAATGTAAGAGGCATTTTTCTTTTCTTTTTTTCCCTGAATTTTTGTTCAATCTAAGAGGTCATTGGTTGAACTGATTGATAAGTATGTAAGTTCATATGTTTAATAACAATAGCAAGGAAAAAAAATCAACATCAATATGAGTTTATTTTTTTTATTATTTTGATTGAACTGGTTTTGATATTTATGCTGTCTGGAATTTTTTTTTTGTAATGTGATTTTGGAAAATAAAAAAAATGTTGTTCATGATTTCATCTTTAATGGTACAATAATTAACATTTGGAAAAGTTGCTTGTATGATTTCATGTTTATCCTTCTAACCATATATATATATATATATATATATATATATATATATATATATATATATATATATATATATATATATATATATATATATATATATATATATATATCTTCATAAAATCTAAAAACTTGCACATACTGACTCTAAACTACTTTTATACCTCTTTATAAAATTCATGTCGATGAATAAGAATTGTGGTGATATTTTAGGTATTTTATATTTGAATATGTATTCCAAAACTCAAACTAATTTATATTTGTGCCAATTGACTTTATATAAATATATATACATAATTTTAGAAGGGCAAATACGTTATTTAAAGTTCCTGAAAGTATATAAATGTAAAAACATAATATAACCTTTTATAACTCGATTTCTCCTGTCCACGTCCACTAAGCGCATCCTGGCCGCCCATTCACTTCGCTTGGCCGCTCAATCTCGATCGCAGCCATCCATTCACCTGGCATCACCCACGCCGACTCCTAACCCTGCACACCTTTGATCTTGACCGTCCATCGCGAGATAAGCACGCCCTCTTCCTGATGGGTCTGTGATCAGATGAGCCGACGGCTGTGATCCTAGGAGAGGGCGACCGCGCCCTATCGCTTCCCACGATAGTTTAAGGTCAGGAGTCAACGTACGAAATGCTTGATCCAAGGGAGGCGAGCGAGATCGAGAGGTAAGAAGGAAGCTGAAGACGGGTCACTGTTGGCTTTTCTCTTCCACTTTTATTCCAGATATGGAGCTCCTCTCTTTGGCGGCGGTTGTAATCGACGCGGTATCGACCAGGGCTTGAGATCGCCAGCGGAACCCGAAGCGGAAGGCATCACAGAGGGGAAGAATCCAGCGAAATATTTAGGCCTTGCTTCCAATCCGAATCTACGGAAGAATCGTTGAGGTGCAATCGAGAGGAGGAAGGAGGAGGAGCTCGTCCGTCGTTACTGCCGCCGTGCTTCTCTTCACTCCAAGTAGTGGTTCCCAGCCATGTATCCCCTCATCGACCTTATGAAAGGTTGGGACTCGTCAAGCCTTTTTCTTGGTCTTTCTCGTGAAATTTTCTTGATGGTTCTTGATTACTTTTTGATGCTATTGGGGGTTTCTTGCATGGATCTGTTTTGCGGACGGTGGAATCTGGAATCTCGCCTTTTCTAGCGTGGTTTGTGAGGAAGGTTTCGTGGAATTTTGTCGGTGCTGTATTCTTCCTCGATTAGGGTTTTGTGTCGGAGGATTTTGGTCTGACGTCCTCATTTTATTCGTTGCTGCGTATGTTCGGGTTTGTGGTTTTTGATTTTCTGGGATCTGATGGGACCGTGGGTTGTAAATATCCCTTTTTTTGGGTTATGTAGAATGGTAAAAAACAAAAGAAAATAAAATGCATGAGGAATAATAGAGTATTCTTTCGTATTTAGCAATATCATAACAACCAAAGTTCATAATCGATGGTCTTCTGTTTATTAGAGAATGATAAGAGTTTGAGAGTGGAATGAAATATGAAGATTTCCACGGTTAAAGAGGAGATTAAGAGCAATAACATTGGGAACTTTGGGTTTTGCATGCCACTAATATGCTTATACAGATTTTTATAGTTAAACAACGTCTGATTTCCAATTTTGGATAAACAGATAAATAAGAAAATATGTCGTTTTAATCATCTCAGCAAATCTTGTCATCATCAACCTTTTCTTATTTTATCTTGTTAAAGTCAGTTGCAATTGCTGGATAAAGAATATCGACACCTTGCTAAAAAAATGTAATGAAACAAAGAAAAAAAGCATGTGAACAAGGCGAAGAATTTGTACATATAAATTTAGGATCTAAGATTCCCTTAACACAGGCAATGAGGATCTCTATTCCCTCCTAACCATACAAAAAGCAAGGAAAGAAAAGACCTAAGGATCAACATATTTGAATTTATGCTGTAAAACAGGGGTATCTGTACTTTTGAATGAAATACATTTTATCTGGATGTCAAGATTTTATTGGTGCTGGTTCTTGAGTATAACAATTAACAAGAAAAAAGGTCGTTCTGATAATTAAATCCGATTTTCAGAATCATTAAAAATTTTAGTGAACTCATTAGTAGCTGTTAGCTCCTGTGTATCTAGAGTTGAAAAGAAAGTTGGTAATTGTACTCAAATGAAATCCAGGCATCTAGGATTGCGGCGCTAGTGGCTGGGAGGAAAACTTTCTTAATCGTTTACTTACACGCACACAATTATGTAATTGAATGAATCCAGCTACGTGCTCCATCATATTGTGCCATATGTGGTGAACAAATTGTTACCACTTTTTGTATTGGCGATGAATGGATAAAGTGGATTGGAAACTATGTTTTGGTACCTGTATGTGAAATATATGTATTGTTTTGTGATTGTGAAAGAGGTTGTAGACCATGATTCTTGGAATCTTAAAGATCTTAGGTGAATACTACGAGGTACAGTGCTACCATATAGATAAGATTGAGCATTTCAAGTTATTTAACATCACTAAATGAGTGAAGCAATGCAATCTTATTACAGAGGGAAAATTTTCCCTCTATGGTATGACTTTTCTCAAAAGTTTCAATGACCAAGAAATTTTTTTTTCTCAATGACCAAGAAATGTTGATCTATTGCAAAACACAATCAATATCTTATCAGCCTCATAACCATAAGGAACACAATAAAACACATAATCGAGAGGACATAGGTGCAAGTTTTATAGGACAAGAGTCCATTTTCTACTGCAGAACTATGTTTAAGTTGCATTTTCATCGGAAAGTAAGAATTGTAAGCAAAAGTTGGTGAAACACAAACACAAACTTTTAGCAGCACTGAGTGATGCCTGCAGCATTCTGGTGCCTTGTTCTGATTATCTTTCTTTCTGTAGCATTGGTAAAAATGTTGCCTTTTAATCAATATTTTTATTGTTACAAATTGTTGCTATTCTAGGTTGAGTCAGCTTTTGTAAGCGTGGCAACTATGTCATGGTCAAAATGCTAATAGGTTATATCTGAGTCTTGAATTTCTTTTGTCAATAGCATTTCTCTACTTGACTCAATGTATATAAAACTTACATCTTCATGTGGTAAATTTGTGATGTCTAGCATAAAGAAGTTTTAATTGAAATGGTTGGCTCTAGACAGATGTTGATTTGTATTATCGAACTGTTGTGTAATTTTTGCTATATTTAATATGCTTATCTATGGATCACTCTAAGTTTTGGTCATTATAAATCTTATTTGCAGGAGTGGGATAATTCTTCATGGAGCTTGCTTTTTTATTGAAATACTATATGTAACCCAGAACTATATTTTTTCAATTTTCAAATTATGATGAATTTATCCAACAAAGGTCTTGCAGACAGCAAGGTTGCAAAGTTGAGTTCATTGAACAGG